TAAGTTTCACGGGTCAGGTAACTGTGAAATTTTTTCTCTGCATAAAGGATTTTACAGTGTTTTTTACCGTGTGCCATTTTAAGCTTAGACACCAGAGACGCCGACCCTCTATTTCTGAACGTGATGTTTTTTAAATGATTTCCGAACTCCAAGGTGGCTTTCAGCAGTTTTTGTATTTAAAATTTAAGATATGTTGTTGGGATTTCAATCCCGTGATGAATGAAGTCTGAATAACCATGATGTGATAGAAATCAAGAGCAAAGAATTTTATGCTTCAAGTGTAACAATACCATACGTTCAGAATTTAACATCAAATTGAAACTGAGAAGTGTACTATTTTCTTAGAGATTAATGCGAGTCGTATTGTTAGCCAGGAGGAAAGTTACTGCTTTGTCAGGTGGCTCTCCATTACTAACATGATGGCTATGCAAACCCAGGAAAGAGTTGCCATCTGTACCTAAAGTTTCTTCCTTACCATCCATCTCTCATCATTGGGAGGAGTTGTTAACAATTTTTCCTCTCATTATTGGTTCAAAGAATTACCTCAGCAAGGATAATTGCTTCTAGCTAAGTTGAGTGTGATTTTTTCTCTAGAGAGCAATCATGTAAAGAAACTACATAATGTACTTGGATATATAATTTAGCATTATTTGCTCAATTACCTACATGTTTGATTTGTCTACTGACTTGACCAGTTTTTAGCTTTATGCACATATGGTTGTGGTATCCCACACTGGTAGTCTTGGGCTACTTATTTTTTTTTTATATTTAGAAAAAGGTATAGTTTTACCTGGACCAAATTTTTTGAAATGTGTGTGTATACATTTGGGCTTATAATATACATACTGTGATTTACTCCAAGCTAAATTTGAAAAAAATATTGATTTGTAATAGACTGCACAAATTCTGATAGGTTGGATGGTTTTCCTCGCAAGTGAGAAATGAGCATCTGACCAATCACAAGTTGGAGGTGAAATTTTTGACCAGTATAAACAATAACATGGGTTTTTTTGCCTTTGTGGTGTGGTGGCTTGCCAAAGTGAATGAAAGTGAAAGTCAGCAATGTTTGCTGGTTGCATACAATTATAGAATCATGACTTCAGGGTTAAAAACAAGAAGTCAGTTGTTGGTGTTAAACAAGTTAAATTAATTAATGGAGATAATGTCATAGAAAGTTGGATTTCATGAAAATTGGTGAAAATCACTCTGATTTCACCTCATACAAACTGATCACAATCTTTGTCAAAATCTTTGCTTTGGTCAATTCCTGACATTCACAATCCTTGGACATAAAGAGTGTTCTCCTTCAAAGTGGTACAAAAGACTTAAATTTCTAGGTTCTGACTCTGATAAGAAAGCATCACAGTCCACCTTTGCCATTTCATTTGTGCTTATGTGAAGGAGCAAAAATTTACGTTTCAAATTGGCACTATAACTCCCATGGTATTAACAAACGCTTTTCTATCATTTAATTTATTCCTCATTTTTGTCCTTACTTTGTTCCATGCAGTAACCATGAATGTTGCTCCATTTTCTGCATATAAAACACACACAACCTGCAATTCTTTACATTACTTGAAGTTTGCATGTAAACATTTTATAGATAAAAACTTGCCTGTTCCACACTCATTGTTTTAATCTTCACATCTTGGGAATATAAATCACACGCACTCATTAAATATGAACCATCTATATTTCCTACATTTCCCAACCATATTTTTAATCATTTTTGGAACTCTGGTTTTAATTTTTTGTGAAAGTTGCTTTGTTTATGGAAATTTTTTTCTCATAGTTTACCACAGCAAAGCAGGAAGTCATTTTGTTGTTGTGCAATGTTTTGAGCTGAGGTGAATACAGTGTAGCTGGTGGCTAAACACCAGTGAGCTTGGCAATCAATTTATACAAAAGCACTGAAACAAATACACCATAATTTTCCATTGTTTATTTAAAAAATAGATTCCATGTTGTTCTGAATCTGTTCAGTAATAGATCACATGTGATGTCAAAATATGGTAAGTAAAAAAAGGGGCACATATAAAATGCAGCTAAGCTTGTTCCAGGCATTTAGTTATAAAAGTGGAGCAAACTAGATGCAAGAGTAGCAGAGGAGTGAAAAAGCAAGGGAAATGACAGCAATGTTCACTATTGTGTTATGTTATACTAACCAAAAGCCTAAAACAAGCTAGGCACAGATGAGTGTGTCACTGATGTTTTTAGCATGTTCTGACATCCTTTGTGATTAATAACTGTACAGAGCTACAGCAACATGGATTGTATTTGTTTTATTTAACGAAGAAGCAAAAATTGTTGATGGTAACATTGCCTATGTCTTTGTCCTCCAATAGATCATAAGTACATGAGAGAACCAATCAAAATGCATGTAGAATTCAGCTTATTATATAAAACCTCATTGATCATAGAAACGAGGTCAAAGATATTCAAAGCCATAGGAGGAGCAGCTGTGTGATTTCAAAACAGTTTTGAACATTGTTAACATCCTTTCTATGGCCAAGGTTATAGAAAATAGAAAATTGTGGTTGATTCCTTTGGAATTTTTTGGTAATTGTGAAGAAGAGCTCCCCAAAAAACCTGTCGGCCGACTGTCGGTCAACTGTCGGCCGACAGTCGGCCGACTGTCGGCAGACAGGTTTTGCCCGAAATATAGGCTGCCTGTCGGCCGACAGTGGACCGACAGTCGGCCGACAGTCGGCCGACTGTTGGTAATGTGTCGGTAACCTGTCGGTAGCTTGTCGGTAGCTTGTCCGTGAAACGTTAACACAAACCTTAATGTTTTCTCTCGGTTTTCGCTTGATACAACATCCAACATGTGTAATACAACGGCTCCTTTAGGAGCCACCAAATCTTGACTTTCAAGATTTGGTGGCTCCTAAAGGAGCCGTTTTGTGAGTGGTGAAATATACAAGATACTTCACTCGTAGAATCGTGATTTTAGCGGCGCGCGCCTAAATCAATTATCGCATCACGCATCCAAGTCTAATTATCGAATTGTTGCGTATAGTAATTTATTACTTAACATAACGAATAAAAGGATTCACAGTTGTATCATTTATTAAACTTGAAATTGGAAATAGCAATTCATCCCAAACCTGCAAGATAGAGGACGATGTTAGCAACACAAATGCACAAGGTAAACATTATTGATACATACATAACATACCATAAGAGGCAGCGTTGCATTGTTGGGCGATTTGAACGAAAGTGTTTGTATTGATACGTAGCTTATGGTTATCAGAGTTTTTGGCCGAGTTTTTCGATTAAATTATCTTCCAATGCGATTCTTAGATTGTCTGGTGTGTTGTAAATTACGCAAGTGATATATCCTATACGCATCTGATAACAACATTTTGGAAGAAACGTTTCTTTACATACTTTCAACTTTGCCGTCGATCGGTAAGTAGGTGAAGTCTGTCGAGTCATACATCACCATTACGGATTGTTATGTCACGTTAACTGTTCGTTTTTAACACAATTTTTCTTTTTTCTTAACCTGTCGGTAACCTGTTGGTTAGCTGTCGGTAGACTGTCGGTAACCTGTCGGCCGACAGTTGACTGACAGTCGGCCGACAGGTTTTTTGGGGAGCTCTTCTTCACAATTACCAATTTTTTTTATGTCAGCTTAATGTGCTGAAGTTTCCAGATAATCATGCACACGTGACATGATTGATCATTGCATTGTTGTTTTTGCTGTTGTTGTTGTTTTAACTTGTGTTATGTGATGATTTCAATGATTAAATACCATTAGTATATAATTGCTCAGGTGATTAACACACATGCTCTTATTTGTCAAGGATTGCAGCATATCTTGCTATAATCACCATGTGCAGGTGATTGTAGCAAGAGCAATAAATTTCAAAATGGCTGCCTTGCATTTTGTCAAATGTTTGTTGGGAAGTAATAAAAGCAATAGTAGAAAATTAAACTGTGAAGAGCACAAAAGATATTAAATGATTAGCAGATCACTTTATTAAACAAAGGGATGAAGTTTTTGCTGATTGAATTCAAAAAGCCTCTTAAAACTGCTGGCTCATCTTGATACAGGTAATCAACACAATTGTAACAAGATCTGGACAATGCTTTCTTTATTTACAGAATTTATAACAGAATTTGAAAGCACCTGAGCAATTACTGTATACTTAAACAATAATTTGTTGAAGGTAAAGGGAAGATCAATAAATAATATTCACTTCATCTTAGGCAAATATTTCTTAATTCTTATATTCATTATTATATTTATTTTACCTTGTGAGGGCAATGGAACATGCTAAATATACCTTTTTTATATACGCTGTAGAACAGGGCAGAAATAGGGACAGAAGAGATGCATGTGATCTTTGATTTTTTTCTCAATTTTTAGGCATGATTTTTTCAGCAGTGAACTTTTATGCCAATAAGAATTGTTATTGTGGTCATCAAGAACACTTAAATGGTTTCTTTAATATCTGTTGTTTTCTTCTTTCATGTACATCATATTTGATAGGCAGGATGCTTAGATATGACCATACAACTTTTCAAAAAATAGAAGCCAAAAGACTAGAAAATGAAATGAGTGGAATAATAAATCCCTCATTCAATGGTTTAACATACATATAATATGTGTGAACACTTCTACTTTCCATTTTCCACCTTGATAAGTTCTTCTTCAAAAAATTTCTTCAAGCATATCACTGACTTTTAAATTTTGGAAATTCACCACTGTACACAGTTTGGAAATTAAAGAAAGTGGAACTGTCAAAAATGATTGTCAAAAGGCACAAATAGTTACACACTACTGTTATTGAACCTTATTTTTGTGCAAATGAAAGTATATTTCGAGCTGTTTGATATCAGCAAATACCAATGTAGTGCATATTTACACTTATTGTGGTTACAGCTTACACTAAAAGTGCCTCTGTGGTGGACTCTATTTAAGTCCTTCCTAAATACTATCTTTACACTTAACTAAAGGGCTGAGAATATTATGTTTATGGTTGTCTATTTTAGGGGGTGTGGATGTGCGTTTCATCAAGGAACCTTCTAATCCAAGCTACTTCAACAATGGCAGTGATGCCAACCTGGTGTGGGACTACACCGATCCACAAAATAAGATTCAGTACATCATCTATAGTGTTCTGGTAGATGGTGTGTTTGTCAGAATGATGGTTAATGACAGTCGTGGTGTCCAAGAACATCCTAACATTCCTCCATCTTACAAAGGAAGAGTTAAAATTGAAGGAAGAGCTACACTGGTTATCAAGGACATCAACCCTGGAGACAATACTAAATTTGAATGTTCAATACGGGAAGAAGGGAACATTGCAAGTACAGTTCAGCTTATTGTGGCAGGTTTGTATTACCGACGTAGCCATTAATAATCGAACAAAAATCAAATACATTTAATTCATGTCTGTCATATTTCTGAGATCTGGAGAAAGTAAATAATAGCATAAATCTGTGCAAAACTTTTATATGCAGGGCTGAAAGTGGCTAGCTAACCCAATTTTTGGGAACAACAGTGATACTTTTACTCAGCATGTGACACAACACTCCTAAAAGGAGAAAGTAAATTCTACTTGTACTATGTTGTTTCCCATCAGTAAGAATTCAAAGGGCAATTGCTTAATTCTTCTGGCACCAACTACTGGGTTGCTCTGTTATGCATAGAGAACTATTATTAATATGAATACTGAGATTTTATCATGGCAAAGATGTCAATATAAAATGGTTAGTCAAAACTAGAAACAATGTGGCTGGTTCTATGATTTTGCTAAATCAGGGAAGGAGAATATTGCATGACCAGTCACAGGCAGTATGTGAAATTAATTTGGTGTGAAAAAAATGGCATTGCTTTTCAAGTCTTTTAAAGGGACTTGTCAAAGGGAATGGGGCCCTGCTTTACGATTTAGCTTGTGAGGAAGCTAAATTGTTCTGAATAAAGTTTTAGCCTCTTTATACTAGTTGGTTGTGGTGGACCAATGGCTGGATACTTTTGTGTATTTTATTGTAATTGGGTACATTTTAAAACTCAATCCATGTAAAATTTGCTATATGCCATATGAGCCTCGTATGGCATATGGTAAATTTTACTTGTCCTGAGGTGAGATATAATCTCTTTCAACTTTCAGAGGCACCACTTATAAACCTCTCTTCAGAAGTGAAATATTACACTGAGGGATCCCCTGTCACCATGGCTTGTAAAGCTTCTGGGAAACCACTGCCAGATGTAGCATGGATTAGAAATGGAAAACTGGAAAGTTCAGGGAAGAAAACTGCGTTTTTAAAGTTTGATAATATAAACAGAACAGATGCAGGACAATATACATGTCAAGCCAATAACTCAGTGGAAGTCACTTCCATTGACACAACAATTTTAGTTCACTGTAAGTATAGTTTAACCTTAATTTTTATTTCTGAATTTACTTTATTTATAGTATGAATCCTGTATTGGGGTCAGTTACACAAAACTGACGAATCTGTACAAAAGTGTAAGGAAACAGAATTCCACCTCAAATCCTTTTCAGCTTTGTGTGCATCAGTCTCAAGTATTGGTTGAGACAATTGAATATAGGTGGAATAATTTTTCACATTTTTTTGCTTTGGAGGGCGTGACAATTTTCTCACTAAGTCATTGCTTCAGTTGGACTGTGTTTAACTCAGAAAATGGCTTAAAGCCATTTTTTAGTCATTGTGACAACCCAAAATTCACTCCGTTTGACTAGTGCACAGTCAATGTCAGACGTCAGCTTTTTAACCCTTTACGGTGGCCAATTTACGTTTTCAACCCAGTTGTTAATCAAATCAGTCTAGCATATATTCTGATTCTGTGTGAGGACTCTGGTTGGGGCTTCATGGAAATCCGAGGACTGGTCAAGATCCTCACTGTCAGCTGAGAAATTACACTTTTTTTTACTGATAGCTGAGATCAGGTGGTTGATGTCAAAATTGGCTGAAATTAAAACTGCATGCCCAAGGTTTGCGCACATATTTGCATGTGTGGCGCTCGTAGAGATATTCTATTTGAGGACGAGAATCTATTTTAAATTTAATTACTCGTAAGCCGTGCCACCTTATACTGAAGAAGCCAAATAACACAAAATTGACGGACTGTACTAGGGAGTGATCACAACTTTCACTCTTTTTTTTCATCTGAAGACAGTGAAAGGAAAGACAAGTGCTGCGCCCGTGTAATTGATGTCCATGGTTCTCTGGTTTGGGAGGTTATGTAACCTGCAAGCACTATGCCGTCCTGCTCTGTGAGATAATTAATGAGTGAGTTACCAGTCAACTGTGACGAGTCGTTCGAGTCGAGTCGATTGGACAAAATCTGCAACCCCCTTTCGCGGCCACTTGCGGAAAATTTTGGAAGTGTCTTGCAAATCGTCTTCCGGTATGACAGGTCGACATCAACTGCTCTGACGAAGGGCTAACGCTAACGCTAAGGGCTAATGTGAAATCTGGCTGCCGTAGGGCGAAAAATGACCGCTTGGAAATGGCAAGCGAAAAAAAGCTGACCCGAAAAGGCTTACACGTCCTTGAGATACTAACGAATATATTACGATAAATTACTCGACTAACGCGTTAAAATACATTCCGCACGCACGACGAACTAACATACAACAATCCCAAAGAGCAAAAAACAAAAGACGCTAATAAACAGGCGTTTAGTTCTTTACAACATATTTTTCGCCTTAGTTACCCCAATGAGGTAGGACAGAATATGACTGGAATTATACCGGATATAGTTAGCCCGATCTTTTAGTGAAAAATGCACCTATATTTGTTAAGAAGATTTAAAGTAGCATTAAACACGTTACAAAAGAGCATCGAACTTCAGGCAGATTGATGACATCTTCACATGCGAATATCCTTAGGAAACTTCCTCAACCATGGACCATCAATTGTTCTTCTTTTTATTAGCCCTTGGCTGAATTTATCCGGTAGCGACATTTATATTCATTAATTACAGGTTAACGCACTCAGCGAGTGAACTATGGGGATTTACTTGCACTAGTTCACTGACAATGAACGAGAAATTTCAATACCTCACGAGGCTTTGCCTCGTGTGGTTTTGAATATTCCAAGTTCATTGTTTGTGAACGAGTACAGGTAAATCCTGATAAATCACGAGCCATGAGTTCGTTAACATTTTTATTATTCAAATTGAATACACTGCACAAAGAAACACTGCTTTGAAACCTCTATATACAAGGTAAACTAAGCCATGGTGTAATGACAATGGTGTGTTGAATTTACACCACGGCTATTATACCGCGATAACGATGTCAGTGTATTCGTCACAACCCAGTATCACGTGGTACAAATCATTAAATCAAAAAATCGGAATTCGAATAGTGTATGAAAGGTGAATAATAAACTGTGAGAAGAAGTGGACTTGCATTCATCCTTAGTGTTGTGACAAAACTCAAAATAATCTCTTCTCTTATGGCACTATGTAGAGAAACCAGGGAAAGCATCCATTAAATCAGAATCAGTCATTCAAGCAACTTTTATAACAATAAGATGGACTGCACCAGCTGATGATGGAGGAAGTCCGATTACAGGATTCCAAATGATCTTACAAAAGGGTGAAACAGAGATAAAAAAGGTTAATAACATCGATCCTGGGACGACAAGTTATTCGTTTCGTGGTTTGGAGAAAGATACCAACTACACAGTGAAACTGTTTTCCAGAAATTTTGTATTCGAGGGAGATCCTACTGTATGGAACATTAAGACCAAGTTTGAAGGTGAGGAATCAAAAGTGATATCGTGACTGAGCACTTTCCACCAGTCATTTTTCGCCAACTTAGATATGTTGTGAGTAACCCAGTTTTAACAATGTTATCTGCTTGCCGCATTATAAGATTTTTGATTTTCAGTTTTTGTCCCCTCCTTAATGGCCAGTTTCCTTTCCCTTTGTGATAAGTGTTTTAAAGATACCTATGTTTGAAGAAGCATAATAATAAACAATGAAAAAATAATGAACGTCGTGAGAACAATAGATAACCTACGCGGTTACGTTCCGTAAATGTTACCTGATTTATCAAGTATTGTTTGCCTTCCCGTTTTTTTTTTTTTTTTTTCTTTCTAATGTTCAGGTTTCAAAATCTGTTATATGAATCAGCAACAACAGCCGCTAGATAGTGATCTTTAGGTTGGATACATTTTTCTTAAACTCTTACCGGCTATATTCAGAACGCCCAAAAACCAACTATCCCTTTAGGCAGTGAGACAATTTCCACACATCGTTTGACCAAAGAATTGAAGTTTGAAGAAATAGGCCTTTCATGAAAATCGATTTTAACATGCAGATATTATGGGGAAATCTCGTCAAACAGAGTGTGGACGGCCTCGAAGAATCTTCCGTACATATTTTCTTTCAGATGAGAAATAGCTTGTTTTCATTTCGCAGGGATAAGGTGAAACCAAAACAATTAAGGTTGCCGTTTTCAAAAAAGTTTTTTTCTTGAACTTAGTAACTGAAGTTGAGCAGCCGTAACATGGCAATGAAGTTCGTTGCACCTGTTATCGCTTAAACGCTTCTTGTCATTGCCTCCTCGACTGACAACCCCCGTGGAGAAAAAAGTTTGTTGTCTCGGCGGAAGAACCCGCGCCAGCTTATGTTTGCAGAAGAAGAATCGTAGGCCTGGACGCTCAAATGGCTCGAGAAGCGGAGCATGCGCACTCATTTTTCCGCTGTGTCATTGCAGAGTGCCTGCACCAAGTCATGCGCGATTTCAAACTTTGAAAAGCAGAATATAGTTGTACACGAACTGAGATCCTTTCTGTAATTACGTGACACAAACGAATGGTGAATTGCCACGTCGTCTATGCATCGGTCTTTCATTTGATCTTGTGTAAATAGCAATTAAATACCAGTAGAAGTCAGTGTGTCGTTCAAATTCACCTTTTAAATGCAGTATTTGTTTTAGGCAATAACCGACCATCATTTTAGGCTTCTCATTATCGCTTCATCTCAGTACTTAACTTGATTTTCCTTGCCATACACTTTCGTTTCAAAAATATCCCAAAAAAAATCCTCGACCAATTTACAGATGATTTAATCATTGATAATGGTGTTACCAAGTTTGTAACAAGAAGTTGTATAATTATTGGAAATTGCACGCTGTTCGTGTTGTTGACATCAATCTAGGAGCCCCAGATGTGGTCGAAATAGACGAACTGCCAGATGAAACAACAGACGATACAATTACCCTAAAGTGGAAGGAGCCAGAAAGTAATGGAAAAGTTATCACCATGTATACAGTGTACCAAAGAGTAGTGACTGATGGGAAAGTGGGACAGTGGACAATAATAAAGGAAATCAGAGATGTTTCTGTAAGAGAATTGAAAATAGCGTTGGAGAAAGGAAAGGTGTATCAGTTTGCCGTTACTGCAACTAATGAGCTTGGTGAAAGCCAAAAACAAGAGGGAGCAAATATCCAGCAAGTCAAGGCAGAAGGAAGTATGTTCAAATGAATCTTACTTTCCCCTTTCAACGGTTTATCCTTTTCTTTACTTAGTTTTCAAGCACTCTCCGTGTCGTCAACATCGAGGTTTTTACGGGTGAATTCTTCGCTTGCAAGAACCTGAATCAACGAGAAAAATTTTACTTACGTCGCAGTTGATATTTGTGTGCCAACTGCAAATATATGGCATACCTATTAACTGAGATTTTAATCATTGGCTGGCACACACAGATATTTTAAGTAGTTTACTGACACATGCTGATCTGAATCTGGAAAGAGAAGTCTGCAACACTTTCGTTTTGTCTTCTCACTTTTAAATTAACTGCTTTTTCTTTCCTTTGCCGTCATCAGTTAGTTGATGCCTCTCTCCCGCAAAAAAAAAAATTCACACTCCCACACTGAATTCCAAGAACTCTTCTGTCATTTCCACCACCACTGCACTTTACTCTTCATACCGATGAAAGCGACTTCGCACTTAGCTTCCTCTTCGCAACGTCATTTCGACACCAGATTACTGAGCCGCGAAATTTATTTATTTAACTTCTGGAAGGGGGCTGGAATCTGAGGTCGCTACGTTGATCACTGTATCAGCGCTACTTTTTCTACCAGAGAGGAACTCAATTATTTTTTAACTGCTGTCAGTTACTTTCATCCAACTCCAAAATAGATCTGGGAAATTTCTGACACCTCTTTGGCTTCTCCAGAAGTCAAAGTTAACAGATAATAGTCTATGTATCAGTAGGTGTGCTACAGACCCACGGTGTCTCATAGTTTTGTCATCTTCAAATCCATTACATGTCAAGAATACCATTCCTTATTCTCAGTGTCTTAGGCTTCATTGCCTATATATTGACAGTTCTGATTTTCCAAGATATCAGAGGCAATATGGCAGTTCTTAAAAAAACCGTGGCCATCCTACCTTTGTCATTCAAGGGAGTCTTTAACAACTGATCGAAAGTCGGCATTCTACAAACGTCACAGTAGGAAGAGAATGGTCGTATTCCATTTTAGCGGCACAATCACGCAGTAAAACCTGTCCTTCTAATAAATTTAAATTACTTCAAAGTGATCCAAAAACTGATATATTATTTTCGCATAAAACATAGACAACTTTTTGATCAGAAATACTTTGTAAATAAATGATCAACCCGAGGCTTTAACCTCGCGTGCATGACACAAAACTTCTCCTTTCATATATAATGTTGAGACTGCCACCACCAATGTCATCTATTTCATAACTTGCGGTTATTTCAAAAGTGTATACTTCGGCGAAAAGGAAGACGACTAAGGGGAACGATTCTGAGAACAACATCGTGATGCAAAATACAAGAAAAACAATATCTATCAAATTGGCCTCCCTTTCGTACATTTGATGCCAGTGTTCTTTGTAAGTAAAGGCTGTTTTTTTGTACATGAGTTCAAATGATAATTTTTGGGCAAACAAACAAACGTTCATTTTCATTGTCGTATTTTTTTTCCCCAGTTCAAACAGTAAGCACAAAAGTTTACCTGACAGCGACAATTCAGGAGAACTGTAGCAGACGTTCAGAAGTTGCTGAGAAATTTCCAGATATGGTTAGATAATCTACTTGATCCATACACTGGAGTGTATGGAATACTGTCATGAGATTTATCATGAAAATTGAGTCTTAATCTGTTCTTGAATGAAATCTTAATATTTCTGTTAAAAAAAAAATTTTTTTTGAATGATCTTCAGTATGTGGCAAGCATTTGAATGTACGTTTTTTTCTTTACATGTCCTTTTAGGCTTGTCAAATTGCCTTTACGTTTGGCTGCTCATCCGCCAACACTGTGAACACCAGGTAAGGTACAGTTTGTTGTTTTACACTGAAACAACAAATGGAAACGCAAATTCGCGTTCTAGTGGGGGGAGGAGCTTTATCTCATTGTGTTGTATTTTAGCGGTAAAACTGGTTTTTCTGCTCTAACAAATCTTATTTGATACACGATAATTTACATTTGAAGTACATTTTCTTTAATCTACAGTAATATATTGGGACAGAATGACATGAATTAATTTTATTTACCTTGGTTTATTGCATTGGTTAAATCTCAATATATTTTAACACCAAAATACAAATATGTGTAATGATACTCTTTGCTCACCCCTCCCCTCCCCCCTTATCTAGGTGTGGCAGTGTTGTTCTTGACTTCATGATGAGGTTCAATCAAAGTGTAGTCGTCAGAAATGTTTTGATTGTCCTGTCGCATGCTGCGAGGCAAGACAAATTCGGAGGTTTTAAAGTCAATCCAGACTCAATTAAACAAGTTTTAATACCTACAGATGGCTCGGAAAGCACAACAAATGGTAAATTATACAAATAAATTGTTAAATGTTTACACGTATTCTTCCGAAGATGCATGGACTGTTTATAATTGTATTCCGTATCTGTTTAAATAAACAACTTATTCTGTGACTGATACATTTCTAGGTTTTTGGTTTTTTCGTTGTTGTTTCATTTAATTAAACAAAGTCTTACTTTTAAAAATTCTTAGAGAGAGAGTACCACCTTAATTTTCCTTAGTACCTAGCCAATTAGAGTTAAAGTTTTTCAGCCATGAGCCTAAGCTATTTAGTGAGAGCGGTATATCGACCAGGATCAGTGTAAATGTTGTTTGAATGTTACTTGATCAAGCTTTGTAAAATAAATCATTTTAGGTCCTGAGGAATGTAACTGCCCATCTAACAACGTCTTGTTAGCCATAATTGGGGTTCTTGCCTTCACAATCCTTCTTCTAATTATTTACATAATCTGGCTACATAAGAAAGGTAGGTAAAAAAATCATTATCTATGTTAGAGGGTTTGGCTGCAAGATTCATTTTTTTACAAAAGCAAATTTTAACCCACATCCACCTCATTTGTCTATTTTTCCTTTCGTTCTTTTTTAGGCGCTGTAGGGAAACAGAGGTAAGAATTTGCTGCCACTTCGATTGTGTCGATGTAATGTGCCCGATATGGTTTCATCTTAACACAAAATTTCAATAAAAACTGATGAAATTCTTAGCGTTTTATAATTATTTCTATGCTTTCTCGATTGCAGGACTTGTGAAGATGAGAGACGTGTTTTCGAAGTAAGTTACAGCTAAGACATTGAGGTCATGTTAGTGTGACCAGAAATTATGTAATCTTACATTACCTCTACTTTCTAAAAGAAAATGTACGCTTGCAGCAAATAAGAAGGGAAAAATGTGTAGTTCTACATAAAAAAAGCATATTGTATCAGTGGCAGATACAATGAAATAAAAGAGGAAGCAAGACTCGATAAGGTCTTTGTCCTGGGATCATGTCCTTTACCAAACCACTCCATGGATTTTCCTTCGATTGTCCTTGGTTCAGCTGCCTGGCTTCACTTCATAGATCGCTAATTGGTCTGCACCCGGTTGATATTTGCACTCTAAATAATAGATTTCGCGCATTTTGGCCGTCGTATCTTCTTGATGCCTTATTTTCTAAAGGTGAGTTTAGGAGCTGAGTACAGCAAGAGTTTTTTCGTGCATTTATTTGTCAAAATATTGGACTACCAATCGACAATCTTCACGTTGCAGTTTGTAGCTTCGGCGAATATGCTATGACCCTCGATCACTCCATTGGACATGATAGTTTCAAAAGCAGAGAACAAAATGTTAATAATAATATGGATAAGATATTATAAACTATTTATAATCTCTTTTCATGGAATAATATAAACGTTTGTCTGAGAAAATGGTAAACTGATTTTTATAACCATGTGGAACTTTTTTCTGGGATTAAAAACAGATTTGTATACGAATACCTTAACGGTATGTTGGTTTAATAGAATAAAACAGGATTAGAAGATATCGAACCAAGTCTACCCGATTCAAGAAAACTCACCCAGCCTCCTGCTGAATACATGGATCTCATAGAAGTCAACAAAGATAATAGAAAAGCACAAAGAACAGCTCCAGGTGCTGATTACGTGCCTCTTCATCCGTCAACACGCTGCTGGGAAGTTCCAAGACATCACGTGACCATAGAAAAAATCATTGGTAAAGGTGCTTTTGGTCAGGTTGCCAAGGGAACAGCGGTAGGACTTCGAGGGAGTCCTGAAACGACCACAGTGGCTATTAAGATGCTTAAAAGTGAGCTCTTGTACTGTAAATTGAATGACAGTCTTAGCCTACAGACATTCAGGAAATGTTACTGGGTTACTGTAATTATTTAGCTATTTGCCATTTCATAAGTTATGTTGTTATTCCGACATTTCGCATATTATTCCCGTTAACCAAATTTTACTCCTTGTTTTTAATGCTCCAGCTAACGCTTCTGAATCGGACAAGAGAGATCTGATGAAAGAACTTGACACAATGAAGCAGCTGAAACCACATCCTTACGTCATTAAACTTCTGGGATGTGTTACTGAATCTGGTATGCTTTGGTTATGCGGGTCTAATTTTGCTGCACACATTTTTGTTATGATTTACTCTGTAACGCTTTCTCGTCATTGATAATTTGCCTCAGTGGAGGGGTGACCGCTTCGCAATTGAGCAAAACAAACAACCATCGCATAAGGTAATTTTATCTTTTTTTAGCCAACACAGACGTGATAGACTAAGACCGAATATTTGCCACTGAACAGAAGCAGAAACGCTTTTTTTAAGGGAATAATTGGTCTGTACTTTCTTATGAGACCGTCGCATAGTTTTTCTTGTTTTCATGCGATTTCTTCAAAAGTGTTGACCATGACTGGGCTATTCATCTATTTCAATTACTGCTTTTTTTTTAAAGAAAGTAACATATCAATTAAATTGTTTAATTTCTTCAGAACAGCTTTTGGTTTTGATTGAATATGTGCCTTTTGGGGATCTGCTGGGTTACTTGAGAAAGAGCCGTGGATTAAAAGACACTTACTACAAAGACCCGGATATCAAACCACAAACAAATCTGACGTCACAGCAGCTGATGAAGTTTGCTTGGCAAATTGCTGATGGAATGAGTTACTTGTCCGCAAAATTTGTAAGTTACTTAAAAACACAAAAGTCAAACAATTCTAAAACCTTCTCGTAAGGTCTATCGTCATGTTAAGCTCTGTCTTGCTTAGAATATTATGTCTTTACAAGATCACGCCTGGGAGATGCAGACGTATTCTTACCGTCTTGTCGAGGCTATTTCTTTAGGGCCAGGAACCCTCCCGATTTTGACGTCATCATATAAGTTTTATTTCAATGCGAGAATGGCGATATTTGTGCATCGTTGCAAGTGTGCCCCATCGAAATAAAATATCTGGGTTTTTCTCGTGTGAGCAAAGGCAGAGACGCGAAGGAATAGGATCTTTTAAGATATTCAGCTTAAACTGAGTGTACAACAAATATCCATTTTAGTGACAAGGAAGAAAGGAATTAAAACTTCAACTTAAAAAAATCGTCTTTGGTCGCTAAACTGCTTCATTACAGAATCCTATTTCGATTAAAAGGTTAAGGTAAGCGTTCTTTGAAATGACTACGTATTGCAGAAATAAAGTAGTTTGCTTCTCTTTGGAATATGAAGCAGTTATTGTAGTAGTTTTAACTTTCTGCCATCTGGAAGAAAAAGAAATACACACAGTATATTATGTTGCTAGATATTTCTATTTTTCTCTCTGAACCATTTCATTTCAGTTCTTTTTCTTCTACAATCGCTAATTTTTGCTGTTACATCAACTCTTTCTTAGATCATTCACCGAGACCTTGCGGCCCGTAATGTGTTGGTTGGACAAAAGGAAATGTGTAAAGTGACAGACTTCGGAATGGCCAGAGATGTGCAGCAGGAAAATATTTATGAACGAAAGACAAAGGTAATCAAGAAAAAGGGGAGGGGAGGGCGGTATCACATTTCGTTCAGTTTAGTGATCTTTGACAATCATTGTTGTGGTTGAGCTGATATATTCCTGATTTCGATCATGAATTCCTTGGGACCCTAATGAAACTATCAGCCATGCGTATACGAGTACAATTTTAAATATCACTATTTCTGACTACTCGCTTCCTATAATTCTCGAGCTGTTTCACAAAGTGATATTTAAAATCTTTAGGGCCGTCTTCCCGTGAAATGGACAGCTTATGAGGCCTTATTGTATGGTAAATATACCACCAAAAGTGACGTGTAAGTATACCTGATTATTACCCGTGGCAGTTTATCAAAAATTTTATAATTTTAATCAGGACTTGAATTCTATGCCGAAGAATACATATATTTTATTCGTCGTATATACTGTTTATGTCTATAGTCACTTAATTTATATTCGTTTGATTTGTCTTTCTGCAGATGGAGTTATGGAGTTCTGTTATACGAGATTTTCACCATAGGTAACATCGAATAGAATTTTATAAGACTCTGTAGATGTTTTTTTGCTTTATACCATGTTTAATTAAACAGTGTATCGTGTTCAGTTAGACAAACGTAATGAGCTTCAAACTACATCTAGTGACAAAGGTGGTGTTTCATTGAAGGTCGTTTTTTTGTCACATTTATATTTCGATGGTCTTGTGGTTCTTCCAGGCGGTTCACCTTACCCACGAATGGATGGAAGAAAAATTGCAAACTTACTCCAGGATGGATACAGGATGCCTAAACCACAACACGTCGATGAAAAATTGTAAGTTTTCTTTATTTACTTGTTCTCCCTCGTCGTACAAGGAAACATTCTTTAAATCTTTAACAGATTATTTGAATAATACCAGGTATCAGATCATGATGAAATGCTGGAAGAATGACCCAGACGCAAGACCAACTTTCACTGAATTGAAAAATCAGCTTAAGGACATGGAAACCCTACACAAGGTCAGAATTTTTATCAATATGAAAGTTTTTTTTTTCACGTAAAACGGACTGGCTTAGGCTGAGCTAATTAGGGTTTAACGTAACAGCATTGAGCTTAAATAGCGTCTCAATGACAATTGAATGTCTCAATGACAATTAAGACTTTATGGTTATTTAAAAGATCATAGGATGATTGCAAAACTGCACTGAGACGCACAAAGAGTAGCAGACGACGACGCCATAAAATACTTCCTCCTTGAATTTGTTTTGGTGTGAAAACCTGACCACTTGTGAGGATAACCACTTAAAACTTTTTTAATGTTGCTGATCATTATATTATTTTTCTCTGCAGAAGCTAATTGACATGAAAATGTACGACAAGCAGTTGTATGCAAACGTCGAGGATTTAACGGTGTAGTTAGATACACGTCTACGGTGTATGACCTGCTAATATTTTGAACACTTCGCCTAGACAAGTTTCAGGGATTAATCATCGTTTCCTTACACGCTTACTTGGTAGAAATAGCCATATTGCGTTTAGCAGTTAGGCTGTAACACTGTCATTCAATTGACTTCATATCCTTAAACGCCGAAACGCTTTTATAAGTTTACCGATAAAGTTTAATCTCATTTTCTCTTTAACATATTAAGTATTTACAAGTATGCCTCGACACAAGCCTTTGAGTTCAGTTTATTTTCTGGCTCAATTCTGAGGTGATGATGAGATCTCGCCCTGAAAGCCATAGTTGTGTACAATTTTAATAAATTGCTAAAAAATTTTGCCGCAAAACCCGCTTGTTTTTAGGAAAGCTAATCGTGCGTATAAATTGCTTTCCCAAAGACTGCCTTTACTTGCGATACCAACTCGAAATACTTTTATACGGAATTCTAATCAAAATTATACTTGGCACATTACTTCTGCAAGAAAGTTTGTTGTTTGGCCTAATAGGCCGATAGTTTTCGCGTATTAGATACTATTACTCAACGAAACTGGTCGTAGGTACGGGTTGAAGTCTTTTTTTCTTGGATACGTTGCTAATGTAATAACTGTAATGTTTTTTATATAATAAAAGTGTTGAAAAGTTCTGAGTTGACTCTGTCTACATGATGATGCCGTACACGAGTTCACATCTTTCTCTCCACGAAATTGATGTAATATATCTTGACCCATCTCTGTAGATCTCTCCTTTGAAGGAAGGACAAAACCAAACCAAAGTAACAGAGCTTCCGGAAGTGCAAAAAATCGCTTGTACGTGATTCAGGAGACTTACATCCAAGAGACCATGTTCTCCGGTCACTCTCAGTAGAGGTTAAGAGTCCATCAATCTTACATAATTATAAACTAGGTTACCTTTTGGTCAAAACCCTTCTTTCCTCAGCTGATACAAATAATTGTACTAGAAACAGTACCTAATATTAAAATAACGCTCTTTCAGTCTGGAGTAGAGGATACCTGAGGAATAGTCTTAACATTCAAATGAAGGAGAGTTTAGCGTCTGTTTGGAAATATTCCCTAACGTTATTTTGTTTTTTTCAGGAGTCGCTCCTTGGTAAGAATATCACACGTTGTTTGATAAGGTAGTTGGGTTTGTAGGAGTATCATAAGTGTTCTTTCTGTCGGTTAAATCATACCTTAACAGCTGTATTCAGCAGTTAATAATTGATTTTCTCTTTCAAAATATCCAATCACGAGAACCCTATCCTCTTCTCTTGCACTTCGATAGGGGTTTACGCTGCTAGTCTTGAGTAACTTAGATTGCGGTTCACTCGAGATAGGACATAATCAACTAACAAAATAATTAGTAACTGTTGCAGCTATCAAATGGTTGGCATTCAGCTTTACATGGAGACAGAAACTATCAAATGGCCTTTTAGTCAAAACTGATTTGAGGTCTACTCTGATTTCGCTTTACAATTCATTCTGCCTTCTATCGAGAAAGAACGTCATAAAATTGTGGCCGATTATCTACAACGATTTCTGAGAAGAATCTCATTATTTCGTTTTTGATCATCAGTTTTACAAACCCAAAACGTCTACACCAGTGCCTTTTATTAAATGACTCTGTTTCAGTTGTGTTACGTAGTCAAGTGTGCAGAAAGTTTACGTAGATACTATACGTACAATATTCCTACATATTCCTTTAATTTTCATTTTCCTCCACCGCTAGATGCTTTCTCTGACCAGAGGTCCAAGTCTGTTGGTCATCAAGACCATACATTCGTCAAACACGGTGGTTATTCCTTCCACCACATTCTTCGCTGAAACGACAGCTAGTTCTAAAATCGTAACATAAAAAGGGATGCGACTAAACGATGTCGCACTGAATTATTGGACCTCCCGCCAAGCTCAAAGGATCAAACCCTTAATTTCATTGATATTGAGAGGTCGCGTACATGCTCTTCACTAAACTCAAAGAGTGCTGGTGATTTTTCTTTTTTCAAATCATGAAAAATCATTCTTGAATTCTCATTCTTAACAGTGTAGCACATGCTATGTGTATGCTTGACATGTCATTTATAAATCAGTATCAGTATGACCATGCATACTAACTTAAACAATGGAACAGAATGTGATGTTCTGGAGGGATGTTACTAAAAGCAATAAACGATAAACGATGAACGAGGAGGGAAGAACGGAGAACTCGGTCTTTAGAGTAATCTGCTAAGACTGTAAATTAAGCTGTTACTGAAGCGTTTTGACTTGAAATCTGACTTCAAAAGTTTAGTTTGAAGACGATAGAAATTGCAGGTGAGCTAGAAATCGGGTATTTGCATCTATTGGAGAATCAATCGTTCCGCCATTTATCCTTTCTAAAAGCGCCTAAATGAAGTGATTTTTTAATCTGGAGAACTCAAACAAAGACTAGAACAAAAATTAAATCACTTTGGGTTCGCTTTTACATCAGGCGATCAAGCGGGAAGCCTTTGTTTTGCCATAGTGTCTGAAACTAAATGGTACACACTAAAGATGCGTAGAAAGTGCCAAGAAAAAGATCTCCCGACTTCCGACCACATTTCGCGTAACAAAGAAGTCTCTTCTTTTTCATTCTGATATGCTGCTTTTGATGTTATACACGGCTGAAGTTAAAAAGAAATCTTTGAATACGTCTTTCTTAATCAAATATAACGAGAAGTATGTGGGTCACAGTGGCGGAAAATGAAGAAAAAGACAAAGCAGAAAACAAACAAGAACAATGATTTTATCTACTCACTTTGCCTCTACTTCTCAGTGAGTCAACAATATTGAACACAAAAACTTTTGTGCACTGTAATCTAAATATTTTAGGTTTAAAAGTGAATAAAAGCTGAAAATCTTTTAAGGTTTACCTTTCGTCATGAACGCCGCTGGTCATGCACACGTCGAGGAGTCCACAAACTTCTTGAAAACTGCTATCTATCTATATAATATAGATTTAGCCAAGCCTAAAAGCGGAGCTCTAGTTAGGTTATTTTCCAGCCCTTCATTATACTGAATAAAAACTGTAATTAAAACTCTTCAGCACTGATTGTAGAAGAGTTTCCTCAAGGGGATTTAGAGACCAGAGCCCAGTTGTTCGGAGGCGGATTAGTGCTAACACAGGGTTAAATTTTAATCTGGATTTCTTTACTCCTTTGTTCGAAAGTCTTTTTGGGATCATTTCCTCTATTCTATATCGAGCATTCAATCATCAAATTCTTATCAAAAAGAATTATACTGAATTTCTTTTAAAGCTTTCAGATCTGAAATCAGAGTTCAAACCAACCCTTGGTTATCTTAACCCAGCTTTGAACAACCCAGCCCAGTCCGGAAGTTGGGGAGGGGGGAAACAATTGACGAAGTCTTGAACCTGGGGACGATGCTCTCACAATTTGCAAGGCGATCAACACGCATGCTAGTCAGCGGTATCTTTAAACAGCCTGAGATCCTCGTTGTTGTTCCTGATGTTTTGAGCAAATTTTCGAAGATAGAGAATGTTTCCTTCTTCAGATGAAGTGTATGATGTCAGGATCAGTTACAATTATATTCTATTGAGCGTGACTTAAAATTCCAGTTTAGAAAATTGAGCCTTAATAACTTTCATGCGTTAAAATACAAACAATTTTCTCCTCATCTATGTGCCTTAAACATTACAGGGGAGGAGGCACGTCAAAGTGAGAACATGAATTAAAAAAGGAGGGCCCCCATTGATTTCAGTCCAAATTAAAGAAGGATCCTTGCCTTTCCAGATTCTAGCCCTTTAAAACTCCTGTATCTTGAAACCAATTCCGTATATCAAAGTTTCGTTTGGGTATAAGCATTGATAAGAAATACCATGCATTAATGAAAGCTTGAGAAAGAGTATTTAATGTAATCTAAATAATACTATTACATGTTACAATGCGGTAACTTACACAGCAAAATTATATAATCACAGAATTCCAGACAAAGGAAGTCAGGTTATTGACTCACCTGCTTCAACTTTGAGGGCTTAAGGTACAGCGAAATAGATATGGCAAACAGTTACAATTTATACAAAGTTGAAAGTTTTAAAGCTGAAAGATATACATTACAGTCATTACACCCTATGCATCCTAGCAAAGAGACGGTCAATTACCACCATAACTTCTCTCTAACCTTAATGCTTACAGGAAATCATTAATTTTTGTCACAAGGTGGTACTGTACTTACAATAGTTCTACCAACACAATTACATTTTTCTAAAGTTATCTCATTGCATATGACTGAACAGGTCATGTGGAAAGTTCCTGTGTGGAGACTGACATTTCAATTACTCAAGCAAACTGTAATCGTCAGAACTGCAAGCCAAGGTTATTTACCAAGTGCTCAAGTTTCCAAATTAGTCACCTAATTGTTACAGAGGAGTTCATTCCTTTTTGAGGCTATCTTCAGCTTGATCATCCTGTTACTTGTGAAAACATCAAATGTTAAAGGAAATGATCACCAAATAAAAAGCTCTTGATTGTTAAACAAATTCTCCTTGTCAGCACCTTAGGAAATGTATGAAGAACAGTATGGAGAATACACATAATGATGTTGGGGTGTAAAGGATTAAGTGTGATTTTTTTGATGACGTGTACTTTTTCTTATGGACATCTAATTTTAGTATCTTTTACCAGCTGATATATGAGAAGAATCAAGTCCGCACTGGTAATTTGACACATTGCAAGCAAACCCTACAACTGATTAAATTTTATTTGATCAAAAACATCAAAGGTAAATAATGGTAATTGCACTGAGTGGAGTGCAATTTGGGCTGAAACCATACGCGTGATTTTCAAAATCAAACGAGCGCGCAGCGCGAATTCGATTTGAAATCACAAGTATGAATTCAGACCAAAATTGCACGACACGAGGTTCAATTACCACTTTATTACATCCATTTTGAAATCGGCCAAATACAGGACTTGGTAAGTTCAAATATTTTTTTGATGAAGTACTGAGCCGGTCTGAAATTCAATTCATGTCCATTTTTTGGGGAGAAAAAGTAAGAGTTAAGAAACAAAAGTTGCAAAATTTGCCACATGATACTCCTTGTCTTTCATTTCCTGCGATTTGATCGGTTACTTTAAACGAACCTTAAAATCTAACTGGTTGTTTTGTTTTTAGTGTAGCCTCCTCATTGACTGAGAAAAAGATGCGATTTAAAGCAAAAAATGGTGCGATTTGTGAATAAATCGCATCAATTAGAGCCAATCAGATTACAGGGACCACCAGTGATTTCAAAATGGATGTAATAATGGAGGAAATTACAACCTTTAACTTGCAGTATCCCTTAAGGCACAATCCTTGGACTTCTCCTCTTTATACTCGATATAAATGATCTACCGAACTG